GAACACACCTCCCTTCTGGCTGCTATCATTGCCATCTGATTGACAATCACATGTACTTCCATGAGAAAAATAATTTTTTTTTCTATTCCATAGTGTTGTGCTGTTGATTTGTCTATTTTACACTGCAAGATGGCAGTGCATGTTTAAATGCTCCATTTGGGAGATAGATTGTGTATCAGGTGCCTGAGAGTTTTGGCAGGACCCTGTGGTGGATGTCACAGTTTAAATGGGTTGAGGAGAATTTGTGTCATGTTTGGTTGCAGGCCTGTGCTTATTTGGTGTATAAGAATAATTCAAACAGCCATGTGTAAGAATTAGAAGCCTTCATAAAAATGCTTGAGCAGCAAAATAGTTTTAATTACACTGGAAGAAGCTTCTTAGCTCAAAAGCCCTGCATGAGGGCTAAATTCTTTACTTTTGTTCACTGATGCAACTGATGCAGTATAACTGCAAAAAGAGTCTTACCTCATCTCCCAACTCTGAGAAGTTGATCTTGGGTTAAACATATTCCTTGGCAATATATGCAGACCTGGTAGCTCCCAGGTTTTCAGGTAAAAATGGCAGAGAATCAACATCCCAGTAACAAGAACAACATGAAGAGGTAGAAGCAGGAGCTCTTTCCTGCTCCTGGGAGACAGAACTAACAGAAACTCTACAGCTAGAGCTTCTGTAGTCAGGGCAGCACATGTCTCTTTTAAACATAAATCAGATGAGACATTAGAGTATTTTTAATGCTCCCATTAGTCTTTGGGCTGTCCACTGTAGAATATTTATCATATGGCTTGCATCATATACTTCATTCTGAAGTATGCTGATGGTGCTTGAAATTCAAGATCAAATGTCATCATGCATTTGTCCATCATCCCTTTGATAGTGTGTTTGGTCTCAGTCTCTGGCAGAGGCTCCTTGCATCAATTGGTGTCCTTAGGCCAATCCATCACCCAGGCATACCTGGAAATGAGACTCAAGCTCAGCAATCAGAGAGTAGGACTAAGAGATGAATCTGTTCTCTGTCAGATTTGGAAAGGAGCTAAAAACAATTTCCCTGGCTCCTTGTTGCCCCTGCAGCAGCTGCCATTCACTGTCTGGCTCCAAGGGAGCAGCAGAGCTGGCAGCTCAGGACTGAGCCCCTGGCACAATGGTGGGAGGATCACAAAGGCATCCCTGGAAGGTCTCAAGGCCTAAGTATGCAGCACCTCTCCTTGGTGGCAAACTGTGTGGTCAGGAGATTTGTTTTAGAGACTGTCTTAGAGCTTACCAATCACCAGTCAAGGGCAGTGGCTGCTGACAGCTGGCATCTGCTGTGATTGCAGGGGCTTTGTACCATATGTTCCCCTTGCTTGAAGAGGAAGGACAGGATTCTCCTGCTAGGCATCCCCTTGGGGACTTCTAGTGTCTCTTTGCCTGGTGGTACCTGGTGCTGTCCTGTCTTGAGACTATGCTCCACAGCATCACTGAGCCCACAGGAGCTGGGCTTCTTCCCTGTACAAACCACATCCTGTGATGCAGCAGTAAAGTGATATTCTGAGGATACATTTAAGCTTACAGAATCAGCAGCTGTCAGATAGATAGTCTCCTGCATAGCTTTATTATTCCTACTTTGTGCACCCACTGTGTATACAGGAGGAAACTTAGGTCTTGTCAGAGAAGAGGTGTGTGGTCGTGAAATTAAAGATACCATATATATATGTATGTATATACACACACACACAGAGATTAAGGGATGACTTAAGATGTTCTCTACTATGTTAAACCTGATACTTTGCCTCTTATCCATATTAATTTCCTAGGAATAATATTTTCTTTAAAGAAAAAAATGATAAAAATAAATACTGTTATCCTGCATTAGCAGCAGGGCTGGAGCCCTGTCTTTCCCACGTCTCTCTTTCCAGTTGCTGCTGTCTTCGGAGCCCTTCCTAACATGTGCCAGACCTCCCTTGGCCCTGTCCAAGCCTGGCACACCAGTGAATGAAATATTTGCATGAGGCAGCATCATCTCACATAACTCATGACTTCCCATCTGAACTGAGACAGACTTCCTGTTCACTTCCTAGCTGGGCTTGCAGCATGGTTAAAAGCCACTCATCCTTCTGTAAAATGGGGCTGTAGTGCCTGAGGAGGCTTAAAAGAGCTTCAATAAAAATCAGGAGAGAATAAGCAGCATTCTGTGTACTCACAGATAATAGATCCCTTCCTTATAGAAGTGGCACGTAAACCACTATTCCACCCTTGTGAGGAAATTGCCTGGGCTGTTCTGCATTTACCAACCACCCTGGAACTTCCCCACTTGATATTGGTGCTGGGTGAAATGTTCCCTTCAAGTGCTGTCCAGAGGGCTCCTTGCTGGCTGATGTGCTCCTGCTGCCCAGCTCTTTGCCTTCCCTGGATTTAGGGTGACCCTACCTCCCTTGTTAGTCAAAGCTTTCCATTGATGGGGTCTGCACTCACTTGGAGAAGGTAAAGAGTTTACAACATGGGTCTCTCACATTCCCTTCCTTTTCCAGTCCTGCGGGACCTCCTTTGCTTTCAGAGGAAGACCAGGAGAAAAAGGGGAACTGGAGAGAGAAGTAGTGACTCGCACTGGGTCTGCAGGGGTTCCTCCTGGCTGGCTGTGGTGGCTTTGGCTGAGCTTCTATCAGCACGCTGTATCTTCCCAGACAAGGCAAGAAGCTGGGCATTTGGGAAGCTGTTCTTCCTTAGAGGTACTTTGGTGACTCTGGCAATGAGACTTCTCTGCCTCTCTGAAGACCTCCAGAATGAGAGAGGGGGTCCTTCCTTGCTGCCCATCAGAACTGGATGTTTGCAGTATCTTTGTTTTTCTTCTTGTTTTTAGTTTGTTGACTGCAACGCCATGGTGCTCAAAAACAGCCAGTCTTCTCCAGATCTCAGACTTGAATGCCATACTGGACTGGGCAGCTACAGATCTTCCTCACTCGCCTCATCAAGTCTTTTCCAGTTTCCAGTAGTAGAAGGAAAATCTTCCTTTTGCCGACGGGATTAAAATGGAAGCACCTTCTGGGCTTTGTTTTGTCCTAACACCAAAGTTGCCCTGATATTTTCCATCTCCATTTAAGGACTGAATTAAGATTCATCATATCCTGGGGTCTTTTTTGTTTAATGTAACATTCTCTGTTTAATATAACATTCTTTATTATTACTTTTAGAAAAGCTGAGTTGCATTTACAGGAGATCTTTCATGTGTTTAAATCTTTGGTTCCTTTATGTTTTTATATGGTCACCCATTCAACTTTCGACTCATGGCTTGAACTGAAAACAGGAAAGCCAGAAAGTGAGAATGTTTCCAAAATGTCATTTTCTCTTTGCAGTATGTTTATAAAAGTTACAAAAAAAAAAATACCAAGATCTCACACGGCAGCATTTCTGGAGCACAGAGAAAGGAACTACTCCTTTCTCTATAGCTAACCCTACCTTTTTCCTCCCCAAAAAAGCAGTTTGAGTAATGCAGTACAAGTAAAGTGTGATCCTCAAGGCAGGTAATTCTCACCATTTACCAGACAGAGAAGCAGGAAAGCGAGAATGTTTCGGTGTGTCCAGAGTGGGTCAGTGCAGGAAGATGGAACTGCCACTTTCCTTCTCCAGCAGCCTTTGACTAAATTGCTCAAGCTGAGATGATACAATGTCTCAGACAGCCATTGAAGATTTCTGGTGACCACAAGACATCACATCCTACAGGGATGGCTCAACAAGTAGTAATGAGATAACCACAGGAAACCCAGAGAGATAAATTGATGGCACCAGGAAATGGCTCTACCTCACAGCACAAACTGTTTTGTTGCCAGAATTGGGGATAAACCACTTTCTCCTGTCTGAAACAAAAGGCTTTAACACCTTCCAGATTAGCAGCTGTGGAGGAAAAGGCAACCAAAAGGGGCAGTATCTGGGGGGGCTTAGAGCCTTTGCTACTGGACTGTCAAAGGCTGCCATTTCATTAACCTCTCAGACTGTATAATCAGATGAAGTCAAAGCCACATACTCAGATTTTTGATCTGTTTTGATTTTTTAGTCCAGTTTCTTATCTCACAATCTATGGATGAATATCTTATTTGCCTGTTGGCAGAAGATGTTTGGAGCATGGTGTGGTATAGATGTTGAGGTTTTTTTCATAGACATTTCATGGACTAAATAATGCTGGCAGATACTGTTTTCTTCTACCACAGGGAGAACATACAATTTATTCTTGTCTTATTATATTAAAAGAAATGCAGCACAAAAGGAAAAGGGAAGAAAACCACCAAAAAAGGATATGAAGATATAATCCCTTCTAACCAAAAAAATACCAACTCTATGACATCCTTGTGTGTGGGGAAACTCAGTTCCTAGATTATTTTGATAAACTTTGTTATAATCAGTTTCACACAAAACCCAATTGTTTATTTAATCTTAACTGCTTGCAGAAATGTCGTCCAGTAAGGATGTGGAGGGTATTTTTTATTTTTTTTTTAGTTTAAAAAAAAGTTAGTTTATTTTTCTTCTGTTATTTGGTTTCTCTGTGTAGATTTATCAGAGCTCTGTCACCAACAGTCTTGTATTTGCTTGTGAGCTGGGTGTGTGGTTTGTCTGCCTGGAAGGGCAGGAGCATCCACAGTGGGAGGCAGATGAGTGAGGAGCAGATGGAGCCCAGTGATGCTTCCTGCACAGCCAGCACGAACATGCCAAAGTGACCCTGAGTTAGGAGCGAGTCATAACAAAGTGTCAGTCCATTCCAGGATAGTGCCATCACTAGAAGCGAACCAAAACCTTTTGTGTTATCTACAGGATGAAATCAGAACCTGCCCCCCTCTGTCCCATAAGTCACTGTGCCCCCTTCCAGCAGCTCACACAGGCAGGACTGTGGTGGCAGTCATCCAGGTTTTATGCTGCCAGCCGTGGCTGGAGCCAGGGATGAAACTCTGCTGCTGACCTATCTACTTGGTGCTGCTGTGCTATCCCACATGGCAGGTGATGCCTGTAACCCTCTCTTTCATGTGTTCTCTCTATAGGCAAGATCCTGTTCCGGAGGAGCCATGTCCGGGACGTAGCAGTGAAGAGGCTGAAGCCCATCGATGAGTACTGCAGGGTAAGGGCTCTGGGGAGTGCAGGACAGCCCTTCTGCCTGGGGGGTTCAGGGCCACCACCAGCACTGGCATTTCCCTGCTGGATAGTGGTGACATCCATCACAGGGAAGGTTGGTCCTTCCCAAACACCACCAAGACTAACAGGGCAGGTGGAAACAGGCTGCTCTTTGCTCCCAAGGTCCTTGCAGCACTTTCCCTGGCACACTTTACGTACTGGTTTGGTGCCTCATTTATTCAGTAAAGGCTCTAAGCCTTGCCTGCCCTAAATGTGGATTTTATTTCTACATCAGCTTTGATGATTTGGGAGTTGAGCAGGCAGAGTGGCACAACTAAGGTGGCGTTATCTTCTGTTTTCTTCTTGTCTGTTCTGTGGTGCCACATGTGGTGTTCATGAGGGACAGCAGTGGCTGGTGCAGCACTGAAGATGAACCTGTGTCTTCCAGGAGTGCTTCTCCTCATTAGTGAAAGCCTGGAAATTTATTGCTGGACAGAAAAGCATTCTGTTTTCTGTTAAGAAGAAGGTTAAGCCACCTGAGCTTTTCTTTCTAGCCTAGAGTTTATGGTTTGACAATAATTCATTCTCTGTCAGTAGAATAAAAGTCATTTCTAAGCAAGTAGGATTCTGAGTTTTTGCAGAGGTATTGAGTCTGTCAGCATATTATTTAAACCTCAAACTTCCTCTCTTATTTCCCTTGAGGTTTTCCTTCCATTTTGAGAAAGTCAGAGGAGCAGGTGGAGGGGGGAAGAAAGCATTCCCAAGAACTTCTCCAGTCAGACATTTGCTCATCCAAAATTGGAAGCAGATTGCCAAAGTGCCTGAGGCGTGCTGGGGGTGGTGGTGGTGGTGAAACCCATGCCATCTGCACCCCCAGGGGGAGGAAACTGCGATTAAAGTCCTCTCTCATGAGATCAGGCTTTCTTGTGTGACAATTAGTGTACTGTCTTCCTGCTGGCAGGCAAATGGCTCTTTCTGAAATATGTAGGGTCTCACTGGGTCCCCAGCCGCCCTCCTTCAGACAGGAACTGCCAGCGACAAGAGCAGTGAGGGCTGGCTGATGTCAGGCTTCACCCAGCACATGTGTGGTGGGGAAAGCAGGGACTTTCTCGTCCAGCAGTGAAAGCAGTGACCAGGGGCAGCTGGTTCTCTGGGACCCTATTGTCTGTGCCTGACCTCACCCAGCCAGGCCTGCTGGGGCTGGCCAAGGTCATGGCCAAGGGATGTGCTGTGGCTGGTGGCACATTCGTTGACACTGTGGTGCTGTGATTCCTGCTGTCATTAATTCCTTTCTCTCTCTTGGAGAAATCTGGCTCAGGTCATAGAATCATAGAAAGGTTTCACTTTGGTTCAGATCTGCTGCCGCTGCCCAGACATGGCTGGATACGTCCCTGAAGCCAAGCTGTTTACTTAATCCGTGTATTGGTAGATGTTGCTTCTGTGAACAGAGACCCTGTGTTCACAGGTCACAGTGTTGGATTAGCCCAGTTTCCCCCAGCCCAGGGTTTCCTGTCTCCAGTAGCAGCCACAGTGGTTCTCAGAACTGAGTGTCACAAACCTTTAGTTACTTCTCCAGAATGTTACTCCAGTGGTCTCTTGCACGTACATGTATTGTACCTGATGTAGTGTCTTTTTATTTCATTTGCAGTTTACTGTAATTTGTATTTAATTTGCCTTTGTACCCATTTTCTGCTTTTCTACCCCTCTTCAGTGGGTGTTTTGACCCTTTAGAGAATTGTATGGAACTGTAGAGAAAGAGCATAATTTTGACAAATTCAGTGCCGCTTCTTTAGGAATTCAAAGCTTACGTCCCATGTTACTCCTCAAATGAGTAGGCTGAAAAATTTGAAAAAATTAGAGAATTATGCTGGAATGATGTGGGTGAAGCTGATGGAGTAAATGTGATGTGAGATAATAAAATGAATAAACAAAACAATAGACCTTTGTCCACTGGAATCTGTGTGGCAGCAGAGGGAGGCAGGTTCAAATGTAAAGTTCATGGCTTTTTCTTTTTTTTTTAATTAAATTTTTTTTTTTATTTTTATTTTTTTTTTCCCAATATAGGAGTTCTCCATCCATTTTACCTGTACTGGAAAGCTGAAGCACAAATGGGGGATGCAAATGTTTGACCATTTGTTGTCTTGTTTTTTCAGACTGTCAGTGTGGCAGTTTGCATGGCTGAGAAGCAGGTCTTAACTCCTGCTGTGTGAATGTGTTTGTGGTTTCTGTGCCAGGAATAAGCAGAAGCTGTCTTAGAGTTTGTGGGGCTACTTGGCATTAAGGGGAGGTCTGCAGAAGATTCTGTATCAGAGGCAGGATCCCTCTCGACTCTACAGCTTCAACCTCTTTAGCCCTCATGCTTGGGTTATTCCCAGAGCATTGTACCAGCTTAGAGAAATGCCATCACAGAGGTAACTAGGCCAGTGGTTTTGCTAAGGCTGCAATAAACTTTGAAGTTGCAATGAAAATGAGAGGAATGGGATATGCACGAAAATTTCCAGGAGTTTTCTCATCTGTAAACAAGAAAGTGCAGAGTCTGGACGTCCTTACTGGTAACCTGAGTGAGTTACCAAACAAACTGTGTTTTGCCAGTAAATGTGTGCTGCCCACTGGAATTAGTTTCTGTGGATGATTTCAGTCTTAACTGTAGGCTTGGAATTGGTTTAGTGTGATTTAAGGTCTTCTGGGCTCATGGGGCCTGATTTTCTAAATTTGTCTAGGAATTTTTGCCAATGTGAAAGAAAGAACAACTTCATAGATCTCCCTTCCCGAGGGGCATTTTATTCATGAGGCTTTTGATCTCTCAAACACACCTCTGGTGTTTGTCCAGTACCAACCATCCTGTCTTCAAGAAAGACCTTTCAGGTCAGTGGTTCACAAAACCATCCCTCTGTCCTTTCACAGCCCTCTGGGAAGACGCTGGCCTGAATTTGCTGACTTCCATATTTGTGTGTGTTGATCCTAATTGAGGGAAGCATCTTAATGCAGGGAAGACCTTAAGATGTAACGTCCCATTGTCATAAACGCTAACCTGGATTTGTCACATGCCTTCATGCTGTCCCATAAAGCTGGATATGGCTTTAAGTAGAAACTTACGGGCTTTTCTGTAGTGAGGTTTGAGTACCCAAATGGACACCACCTAAATAAAAATTAAATGAGGAAGTCACATTAGTGCCAGTAAGTACTGGTCATTCTTTTATTAATGTTCATTATTTGAGAGACCATACTTCACAAACAATGTCCCTCTTGGTCTCTCAGTCCTGCCTCTCTTTCAAGGTTTAATCCTTGAACCTGTCAAGACAGGTACACAGACATTTCTCTCTCTATCCAGACATATCTCTACCCCTTCCAGAGCTAAACACCCATGGCAGGGGGTAGACCAAGCCCCCTCTGAAGATGCTGCTCTTTCTCTAGCAATGATACAAGTTGATAGACAAGTGTGACCAGTGTCCCATTTAAGACACTTAAAGTTCAGTGGGGTGAATACCATTCTGTGCATATATACACATGCATGTGCTCGGCATTTTTCCATATACACAGCTAGGCATCAGTTCTTTATAAACGTATCTGCATAAATGCAACCCACCACATTCAATGCGTCGTTACAAATACCTGCAGGGTTTCATTCCATGTGTTCCATGAAGCCTTTGAGCTGTGATACAGTCCCACAGACTTTCCAGTTTCCAGAAGTTTCCAGTTCATGTAACCTTAAGCAATGAACCCCTGCCTGCATTTGGTGCTCTGCTGGCTTTGATTTGCTGTGTGTGGCACACAGCAGCTTTCCACAGGTGGGCTCTGAGCACGAATGGCTGCCAGCTCACACCCTGCCTAATGTTACAGATTTTCAACAGCCTTTCGAGTCACTTGCTCTGTAAGACTGTATGTAACCTGTAATGTAGAGACAGACATCATTATGGGCTGGAATGACACATAAAAGCCTATCTCCTGAGGGATGTGTGAGGGATGAGCAGCGCACGTCCACCTGTGCATGCCAAGCAAGGAAACATGCTATTACTGATAGTACTCAATGCTTGAGCAAGGCTGAAGTGCTTGCTGCCACTCTTTATCTCTCACCTTTCCTGTGCAAGTTCCTTGCTGTTCCTGGACACTTGCTGTTTGTTGCTGAGTGCATTTACCTCTGGTTTCCCCATCCCCAGAAGAATATAACTTCCCTGTCCTTTCTGTTTGTCCTCGTCTTTACACCTCTTCCCTTGCCCCTTTCAGTCTTTCTTTCAGGCTGTTGCAGTTCTGCCCTGGAACTGTCTTGCTGGAAATGCCAGCAGCTTGTATTTTCCCCTTGCAGAGTGACAGTGGTGTCCCTCATCTCCTCAATGCACTTTTTGTTTGCTTGCTGGAATTGTATTGGCCTTGACTTGTTCATGGTGAACGTTGTGTATTTGCTGAAGAGATGCATCTCACTAAACTGTGTTGCTGCTCCCTGCTGCTATTCAAAACTTAATAGAAGGATCCTGATTGGTTTTATGTCCTTGGTTGCATTTCTTTAAACTGTTTCTTAGAGTTTCTTACCACTTTTTTGGGTTTTGTTCTGAAAAAAAAGAAAATAAAAAAAGAGAAAAGTAAAAACTGACTGGTTGGACTTCACACCTGAGCTTCCCAAAAAATGTGCAATGGTAAGTTACTATGGGGTGGATTTTGTCCATCTCTGTGCATAAGGCTGGAAATTGCAGCAAGCTGGGAGATGATTCAGAAGCAGAAGAGCCAGACCTGCCACAGGGTGGGAAGGTGGATGGTTGGGTGTGGAAATGACTGGCTGATTTTTATCCACTCCCTGCAAAATCCTGGAGTCAGAGAGGTGCTTTTCAGTTATCCCCCTTCAGCTTGGCAGGACCACAGTGCTTCTAGAGATTTCCAGGCAGCCAACCACTGATTCAGGGGATTCAGATTTCCCAAAGCTTCCCTTGATTTAGGAACAAAAATCTCCACAGCAGCTTTGCATTCCTCCATCACTGAAAACACACTCTGTGCTCCAGCTCAGTATTGACATCTGGAGCCTGGTTCTTGGGAAGGGTGAGCACCTGCGACCTGTAGGGAAGGCGTCTGATGTCCGAGGCCCCCTGCAATGGGTGTAACTGGGGTATTTGTGTTTCTCTAGTAACGATACATATTGTTTGCAGTGCTTGCTCTTGCCCCATTGACTGTGCAAGATTGAGCCCTTTGGGATTTCAGAACACACTGTAGATATTGAATATCTGAGCCTCCTAACCTTTCTGCAGATTAGGTAAGTGTTATTGCTCAGCCTTGTAAGGGGTAACTGAAGATATATCACAGCTGAATTTGATGAAAAGAGGTTAAGTAACCTGCCCTAACCAAAAAGGGTGTGAGTAGTAGAGCCAGCGCTAAATATCAGCTTCATCCACTGTTGGTTAGACAGCATTGCTTTGCTGTCTCTTGCTTGGGGTGCGGATGAATAAATGTTGTTTATGTTCTTGTTAGCCTGTGCTGGTGAGGCATTTTTCTTTCAACATGCTGTGATTATTAATATTCCTGGGTGCTTCCTGACTTCCCAGTGTTATTCCTGGTTTGCCAGCTGGATGCGTGTATTTATGTAGAGGAGGAATAAAGCAGAGCTCACACCTTTGTTACACTTTTAGACGTGTTTGAACAAACAGAGGTGGAGACTAGGGCATCCTTTTTTCCCGTAAAAGTGCTTGAGTTTCCAGCTGTTCTGTTTCATCCTGCTTTAGTGCAGCAGCCAGTGGTTGCTTACCCTGGCACTTGGACCCACCAAGCTGTTCCCCAGCTTCTACATCTGATGCTGCTTCCTTTTTGCAAGGCATCTTTTTCAACTCTGTAGTGCAGTTCCACATGACCAAAGGCCAGAGCCTCATTTTTCACAGGCCTAGTGATACCAAATGGATTTTCCTAATGTTCTTATAATATCCCTTCACAAAGGAAAGGAGAGCTGTAGATGTGGAAGCATTTTACTTTGAATTTCTGAACACTGCAAAGCAAGACCACATCATCCAATATGGGAGACCTGCAGTTTCATAGCAGGATTTTTCCAACTCTTTCCCTTCACATCCCCAAGCAAATGTGGTCTTGGAAACAAATCTGGCCTCTTCTACAGCCTGGTTAAAAAGAACTGTAATGGTAACCAACTGCCTTCTCCTGCCTTTGTGCTTTGTTTGCACCTTCTGGTGTATCTGACCAAGATCAATCAGATGTCTCATGGTTATTATAACCTGTTCACCCTAATGCATCTTCATTTAGTTCTGATGCAGTTTTTCATCCGTCTTTCAAGATTGTTTGTCCTACTTTCAGGAGAAGAGCCAGACAATCTCATTTTGTCAAACAGGTTTACAGCAACTCTAAGAAGCTTGGTCTATATTTAACTTGTGGGATATTTTCAGCATAACTTAGAGCAGGAGGAGGTGAAGTCCAGCCTATTTTCCTCTCCTGCTTGTAATTTCTAGAGGCAGTCTCAGAGTTGTGTCACTAAGAGCTGCTGACCCATCTCTGTGGGCTGGGAGCAGCTCTTTGACTTCCTTTGGCACCATAAAGCTCTAGATTCTGAACAGCAAATTCATGGGGTGTTTCTGCCTTGTGTGCTTGTTTTGCTTTAGGTCTTGCTTTCCAGTACACTTCAACATAATGTGGTTGATGCCCAGACTGTACTTAGCTATTGCTGAATGTGACAAGTGCTATGTCTGTCTGCCAAGGCAAGTGCACAGACACTGTTAGCCAGGACATGCTGTACAACCTTCTTCATGCAGAAAAAGTGTCTCTGTGTTTTGGTTGGGTTTGATTTGGTTTTTTTTCAGACATTTAATCAAACTTCCTTTCCTGTTAATTTAGGAGCAAATTGTTGTTTGGTTTGGTTATGGGTTTTTTTTTAGCGAACTCTGCTTTTTGTGTGGACAATGCTTAATGGAAAGCTTTATGGAGCACATTAATCTGTTGTCTGAGTGGATGTTGAATTTGTGTGCATTGACATAAGGCCCGTAAGCCCTAACCTCAGCATCTGAGGTGCTGTGCAAGCCCATGTCACAGACTGTCCCAGCCACAGAGCACTTACCTATGCAGTGTCACGGTTTTGCACTTGTGGACCAAATTCTGCTCTTGAGCACATGGCAAAATCAGTTCCATTGGCTGATTCTAAGAACTGTTGCTTGTCTGAATTCATTGCTTCCTACCTGACATTTGCAGTCAAGGCTTGCTATTTGCTTTCTTCTTTTGGTAAGTAACTAGGTGTGATGCTGTTCTTCAGTATTCCTTTGCCCCTGCCAAGACTGTTTTGCCTCTTCGTGTTTGGTAGTTTAGATGTTTGAGGCCGTGTTTCAGACTTGGCTTATGTCTAAGTGCTTCTCGCTCTCTGTTTTGTTTTGCAGGCACTGGTTCGGCTTCCTCCCCATATTTCACAGTGTGATGAAGTCTTCAGGTTCTTCGAGGCTCGCCCAGAAGACCTTAACCCTCCAAAAGAGTAAGTGTTGTGATGGTTTTCTGTGCTGCTCAGTAAGTTTTGATTAGCTGGAAGGAAAAGGTCATTTGTTTTTATTACTGCTGTAGACGTGGGAACAGATTTTGTACCTATCAAGCACTACCTAGAAAATGCCCAGCAGTTAATCACAACCACTTTGGGTGAGTGGAGGGAGAGGGAAGTCAAGCAACCCTCAGATACAATTTTTAGCCATCCTCCACCCACCTTTGCATTGTTTCTTGCTCATGGTTGTAGTAAGGGAACCTCCCCTGGTTTATGGGTTTTACCTGATAGTTATCACCAAAGAGTCACTTAGTTCCCAAAAAGCATTGGCTCAGTAGCAGGGGGAAATCCTGCCAGTAAGCATTTGGCTCATAATTACCAGCTGCTTCTTTAAATGTACTCCTGCCCAGAGATACTTAGTTATCGGTAGGGAGCAAGACTGTGGTCCAGATCCAAAATTGTCTCTGGAGAGTATTCTTTCCAAGCAGGAAGCCAAGAAGAGGAGGGGAGAAAGAGTTCCCATTAAACATGAGACAGAATCGTAGCCTCTACCTTGGAGCAGACAGGCTGATTCATGCTGATGCAGTTAGGGTTCATAAGACTAATTTATCCAGAGAAAGCAGTGGCAGGAAGGTATTTACAAGCAGCAGTGCTGCCTTGCCTGGTATTTCCTTTTCTCTTTCATCCCAAACAGGATATATTTCATTGTACTCTGCAGTAAGATTTTGACTTGGTCTCATTGTGTTTTGTTGCATGATTTGAAACTTGATTGCAGGCTGTGTTACTGTAATTTGCTTTTTCCCATGTTTGCACAACCCACTGGACAAGGGGAAATGGATGCAAAGCTTATGGGCTTTGGGCACTTCAGCACATGCAAGCCTGTAGTTTATCAGAAAGATTTGTATTGGCTTCAGCTGTCTGCTCCCGTGCTGGTGAAAAGGAGTGAGGACCTTTGCAACTGGATTTTCCAGACTTTTTCTTGCACGTGCTTGCATTTGTACAAGGAGGTGTATTAACATGTTTACTAAAGAAAACACTGCTAGCATCGCTGAGAGTAAAAGTCTTTTTTTGTTTCATGAAAGAAGGAAAGAGCAGTTTTAAATCAAAAGTCTGGATAAAAAGCTGCTTTTTTATTTCCTATCTAGCCTCGTTTTAAGAAAATGTTTGGTGAGAATAAATATAGTTGCTTGCTCATTGTTAAACACATATTGTAAACTTAGAAAACATTGCAACAAAATAAGCCTGTCATGCTCTGAAACCTGCTGGTTATCACAGTTTCCATTTAAGGTCTGTAAGTAGGTTTGCAAAGTTTGCTTGATCCCACAACACCCCATTTGTGACGCAAAGACACATCCTTGTGTGCCAGGCAGAGACAGACACCCAGAGGAGGAGTTAAGTCCCAAGAGTTATGGAACAGTTCACTTGGAGGATCTCAGTGGAACTCCCGTCTGCTTTCTGTACTGGTGCAGATTCTACAGCACCTCTGCAAGGCAGGAGATGGACCCAGGCCCACCCCCAGACATACACCAACCATTATGGCTTGTGTCCTTGTCCCTTCTCAAAGTCTTAGACGGCCTGTTTGACAGCCTTGCAGAAATTTTCAAGTTATCCTTTCACTCCCCCCTGGAAAAACAAAAAAGACTTAATGTTCTCAGCCCAAGCCTTGCATCCTATTCCAGCCTAGTAATAAGTGTGATTTATTTCCCTGGAAAATGTAGAGCAATAACCTGATTAAATCTCACTTCACTAATGTCTGCAAGACATTAATCTAGCTGGGTTTAAACAAATCCTACCTCGTCTTCTGTAAGCAAACAGATTTTAGGGAAGGTGTCTAAGGTTTCTGCTGGGAGTGCTTCACAAAAGATGTATTGTTGAAACTGAAGATTAGTCTCTACAAAAAGATGATGTAAAAGCCAACGGAAACAACTTAGTGTTTTTCTTCTGTGAACTAAGGGGAAAGGGAGGAGATTTGAGGCTCACTGGACCACTGTGTAGGGTCTGGGGGAAGGACACCTCCAGGGTGATTCTGAACCTCAGCAGGCACTGTAGGAAGGAGCACAATTCCAGAGAATTCCCAGTTTATTCCCTTGTTTTGTTACTCTGCCAAGCCCCTCCAGAAACAGTGAGCCAGTGGTACCCAAGCCCTGTGAATTCAGTCTTCCCTGGACCTCATGGTTCATCATTCCTCTCACTGGAGGTAGGGCTGTAGCCTGGAGGCATCTAGACTATCCTAATTATTTTATCTATTTCTTCAGCTGCTTCTTTTAGCCCTCAGCACAGAGGTGGTTTGTATGTTGATCTGTCAGCATAGACATGGCATTCAGCTTGCTGGGTTAAAGAACAATAAGCAAGTGACTGAGCCACCAAGGGGCAGCAAACAGAATTACTTGTGCTGCCTTCATGTCTCCTCTCTGTGCACAATGAGATGATATTTAGTTTTATATTGAACTGCTCAGTTTTTCTGCAGCAGCTTGGTCTCATAAGACAATGCCTGACCTAGGGTCTAATTAACTAACTAATTTTCAGTAGTGTAACCTTAAGCCCACGGGCATTTGGGTTGTTGAGCCCAGAGAGTCCATTGAGTTATTGCATGTCAGTGGCTTAAGCATGTGCTTCCAGACAGAAATACATGGCATCTTATACTTCGACGGAGGAGACACAGAAATGTCTAGGGATATGCAGAGAGGTATCCATGCCTTTAACTGCTGAGCCATGGCTTGCAATGGTGCACTGATCTATGTTGCTGCATTAATTCATCCGCAAAGCTGAGCTCTTCACTTCTGTTCCTATTGTCCTGAAAGGTGCCGAAATTCCCCTGTAGTTCCTTAGGCACTTTTACAAATGTATTGCTGTCTTCTTCCTTGCAACCCTTCATCTGCCCTACCTTTGCCTCCTCCCCGCTTCTTTGTGCGGTCCTAAACAACAAAACACGGGCTTGTGCCGTGTTTGGCTCACTGGCTGCTCCCTACAGAGTAATTTCCTACTGCTGCCGTGCTCCGACTGCCCGCAGTGCTGAGCAGCACACAATCCAGCTGTAATAAAAGCTGGGCTTTCCCAATGCTGTAATAATCCGGCCAATTTGTTCGGTTGGATTCACGGCTTAGGTTTTCAGTTTCCTGTTTTGGTGATGGTCCAGGCTTTCGGGTCCTGTGACAATAGGCAGAAGGTATTTCTTCCAGCCCATTAAATCTCTCCTGGGTACAGCAGCTCACAGGCAGAGAGCTGGAGAGATGTCTCAAGAAATCTCAGCATTTGTACTGGCTGACAGTCTCCTCTGAGCCTGCTCCAGCTGGTGGAGATAGCTCCAGGCCAGATAGCTCCCAACAGCAGGTTTCCTCCATGTGGCATGAGAGAGACCATAGGCACTAAATCCTGTGTGGAATGGTCTGGGAGCATTCTCAGGCTGTTTCACATGGTGAAAGCATGGCTTTTGCAGGGGAGCTGGCGGGCCATGGGAGCAGTGATGTGCCAAGCAGCCTTGGGAGCTCCAGTGCCTGTGTTCCCAGGGCAGCTGTTTCAACTGCTCTCGCTCCACCCCCTGGATTAGCCACACGGAAAGCAATCTTCAAAGCATCGGCCCTGGTACAGGAGGAGCAGTTCTTAACTGCTTATGTTTCCAATATGTGGCATTTTACTGTTTGGGCAAACACCCGTGTATGTAGGCACATGGCTGGGCTTGTGTTCTTTACCATGCCCACAGAACAGCCAGGTCCTGCACTGCCATGGGAAAAGACACTGTGAGGTAAGAAGGAAGTGTGTTTTTATTTATCCCTTGTTCTAAATAAACACCATGTCACTTGAAAACCATTCATTTACTGGATACTTCTGTTAATAATTATAATTACTGATAACTAAACCAGAGGTAGATTAATTTCAGATTTCTGCTGGGGATTTAAATTCAAGGCTGAGGTCAGGCCAGGGCTCACAGTCAACAAACAAAATCTCAGAAACCAATTTTTTTAATGATTCTATTTTACTAGAAATAACAGAAATATACAAAAAAGTAGGATTAATCAATCAGGCATTGCATATGGTTTAGTGGTTTTAGGGCTTTTTTGCAGCAAGTTTCAAAATATCACAGCCAGACCACTCTTGTGAGAGTTTGTTTTTCCTTTGTGTCTAGATCCAGTCTAAAGAGCAGATCAAGAGCCAAGGATTCAGTTCTCCAATACTTCCCCCTGCAGAAATGCATGCAGGCTCAAACAAGATTTCTGTTTAAACCACTAGTAATGATATTAGCAGCTGAATTTAAAGCAGTGTTCAATATCTGAGAATAATTTTCCTGTAAGAATCGTAAAGCAATTTTCAAACAATATGCAAATCCAGAAAAGCTGGGGGACTTACAGGTGTATAACATATTATGAGGGTTCATGTAGAAAATGGAGTTAATGCTGAAGGTGCCTTTACTAAAGAACAGAAATGCTCTATTGTGGTCTGTAGTCATGAGTTTTACTGATCATATCTCTAGCAAATAAATATTGGCGTAACACTTGGATGCTCTGATGCCAGGCAGCCACTGTTGAACGGAAGCTGGATTCTCCTCTTATTCTTCATGTATTGCAAATTCCTGATATGGATGCTGAACAGAAATAGCCAGGGCAATGGAGTGACCATGTTAAGGAAGCTGCTTAAGTTTATGAACATATTGGTGCTAAAGCACAGCTCCCTAATACACGATTTTCTATCCATAAGCATGACTGTGTCTATGTACAATTATTTCCGTTTCCCAGATCTGTTCTGTAATAACAATTCAATTACCTATTGGTAGAGGAGGAGAATTTTTCATGTGTGAATTATCTGTATTTATTCTGATTTGTTTGCTATTATGAAACTATTTTCTCTTACATTTTATCCCTTATATTTAATTGCTTATATTTCACTTATACTTTATTGCTTTTGAGCTCTGTTTCCCAGTACATTGGACAGCTGAGTCTCTGAGCAGATGTGCTATGAGGAAAGCTGATGTTCTTTTTTTGTGATTGATTTTTCTTACAGGACTT